AGTTATTGTTCTGACACATATTTTCAATATTTTTTCGTTTGTCAGGTTTTTTTTATATAGGCCTGACTGCTTCTTACTCCCTCCGTGAGTTCCCGACATTTTGCCCGACAGAATGACGCACCGTCTCGTTGATCGCGTTTTTAAACTATATCACATTATTTTTGACCACAACGGTTTTCCCACTTTTACCCTATAGACAGGGGCGGATCTACTTAAGGGATTTATGGGCTGCAGCCCAGGGCCCCGTGGATACAAAGGGCCCCAGTCCCCACTGTAAACAATGGGTCATATTTTGAATTAAAAAAATATAAAATATTAAAGAAAAAACTATTATAAGGTTGGCAACCCTGAGATCAATCAACATATGCATGTGCGCGTTTATCGAACTGAACGGGGAATTCCCCGTCGCTTGTCTTTGGTCGGTGTATTTTTTCGCGTCTATAATACGGGGGACTTCCTGCCGCGCTGCTAACGCCCGACGTAATTTTGTTTTTTTCCAGCACTTCTGTTCTCGTCGTCAAAGTGACAAACTTTTTTAGTTTATAAATGATAAGTTAAAAGTTATAAAGACAGGACTTTTCTTATTTTACTTATAATTGAAAGTACATAATCAGTATAAGAAAAGATTTTCTGTTCTTAGTTGGTAAGTAAAAAGAATTATAAATCATGTTGTTTTTTTTTTTGTTTTTAATGTATTTTTTCAATACTAAATGAACTTTTTAATCGATTTTTAATGATAATTTGTGAATTACTGCACTCATTACAAAGTAATGTGACGTGAAGAGCAATATTACATCTATTATCTCGTTTCCTGTTTATTACCAGAAAATTATCAAGTTCATTGTTTATTTTCTGAAAAATATTAGTCTTATTTTACAATATGTCTGGTAGAAAATATGAAAGTGAAGCTGAGAAACGGAAATTACAGCTAGATCGAGAAAAAGAAGGAAAGAAATGTGCACAAATTGAAATTTTTTTCAAATTAGAACATAAAACTGAGAATAAACTAGCTATAAATTTATTAGCAAGTGAAAAGGAAGGGATCTTATCCGAAGAGAATCTATTTGAAGGGAGCAGAAAATCGCAACACCAGGAAAAAATACAAGTGATGAAAATGTACAAAGTCTTGACTACCAGTCTTGACACTGAAAACTATAGTGGTGTTCAGCAAGAAGGAGGTAATACCGAGGCGGAAAGAAATTTAGAGAATATTAAGATTGAGTTTGAGAAATATGACAACGTGGGCCTGTGGCCAGAATTGTTAAATAATGATTTTATTAATGACATCCTCTCACATGAACTTCAGACTTTCAAATGTCAGAAATAAAGATCAGAAAAATATATATTCAGCTTCAATAAAGAAATACAACGAACAAAACAGAACATTTTTAAATAGGTATTTTATTAAGAAAATGAAAAATGATCAATCACTGGAAAGATCTTGGTTATGTTATTCAATCAGGGTTGGTGCTGTTTTTTGTTTGAGTTGCAAACTTTTTTCTAAAATCTCTTCTCAATACATAACCAGATTTTCTAATTGGAAACACATAGGAACTTGTTTAGAAAATCATGAAAATTCTAATGAACATAAGAAATCAATGTTAGTGTGGTTGGCACGAAAGGAAAATAGTTCTGTTTTAGACAAGAAGCTTCAGAAGCAATTAAGAAAAGAAACAGAATATTATCACATTGTCCTAAAACGGGTTATTGCAGTGGTCAAATTTTTAAGTATAAGGGGCTTAGCATTTAGATCTTCCGAGGAAGTATTTGGTTCTCAACATAATGGTAATTTTATGGGTCCTCTGGAGCTATTGGCAGAGTTCGATTCATTCGTGAACACATTGAACAACGAGAGCTTCGACCAAAACCGATAATATCGTACTTATCAAAAACAGTATATGAGGAAATAATTGAGATTATGGGCCGACAGATAATTAAACAAATTATAACTCAAATAAATAACGGCGACACAAAGTATTATTCAATTGTGATGGATTCTACTCCAGATCTATCTCACAATGATCTACTTGCTATTGTATTACGATACTGTTTTCAGGGAAAAGTGTATGGATGATGTGTATCCTTCATTAAAATTGGTAGTCATACTGGCTTACATTTATTTAATATTCTACAAGACTTTTTAGAAACAAATGGATAATTGTGGAGGACAATCTTATGAAACGCTGCCAATATGGCGGGTCACTACATTGGTGTTCAAGCACTACTAAAACAAAAAAATAAATCCGCGGATTATGTGCCAAGTGCTGCGCATTCCCTTAACCTAGTTGGTGAAGAATCTGTTAAGGTTGCGACCGAAATTGTGAACTTTTTTGGAGTAGTGCAAAAAAAAGACGTTTTCTTTTCGACTTCGACCCATAGGTGGGAACTTTTTTAAATCATGAAACAAAACTCAAATTTACGATAAAAAGTTTAAGCCAAACCAGATGGTCTTGTCACTGTGATACTGCCAAAGCTTTGAAAAATAATTATGATAACATTATGAAAATTTTCGAAAGTTTCAGCGAAAATAAGGATGAGAAAGTTGATTTCCGGAAAGAGTCACGAAATTTATTTAATAAAATGGCGAAATTCGATACTGCAATTTTGATTATTTTTTGGGAAGAAATTTTGGAGAGATTTAATTTAGTTAATAAAAAAGGATTGAGCCCTGGTTTAGATATTTGTGAAGGCAACAAGTTAATTGCGTCATTAAAAGACTTCGTGAACAACATAGGGCACCAATCAGATCAGAAACTAAAGGAATACGAAGAGAAAGCTAAAAAAATTAAGTACTAATGTGGGAATAGACTACAATGACATAAACAAGAGACGAATTACTCCAAAATTTTCAGATAAGTCTACAGATAAATTCTCAGCATACGGCGCAGAAAAAATTAAAAGAGGCACGCTAAACGTTGCGTTGAATAAGCTGATTATGGATTTAAATAAGAAGAGCCAAGTCCATGAGATGTATAGCAAGACATTCAATTTTTTAATGGATTTGCAAGACAAAAATATGGAAAACATAAATCTGGAAAGTGTACGTAATATTGTTAATTATTATCCAGATGACGTAGACGAGCATTTAGTGAATGAGTGATGAACTTACGATGTGATGAGCAAATAAAGGAATTTGCAGCACAAAAATGCAGAAAGGTTGCTTTATAATTTATATAACATAACTACACATAACCTGTCAATTTATTTTGCAATAATATTGCACAGTTGCTGTTTGTATATACAAATAAAAATAAATAAATAAAATTATTTTATTGTCCTATTTTTTCTTTATACTTATCTATATCACTATAGAAAGCCGTTTTTTTGAAAAAAATGGCTATTAGGGTCTCTAAGTTTCAGCCCAGGGCCCCTTAAATTCACGATCCGCCCATGCCCATAGAGGAAGGCATTAAAATATGCAATAAAAGAAATTAAATTTTTTTAAGCCTACGTCCAGAAAACCATTTAAATTCTAAAATTATGTCCCTTTTTCAGATATCACTTTATATCTTATGCATGAGCTTTTCGATTGATGAATTCAGTGGCGTCACATGTAAGTTATAAATTAAAATTCTCAAACAATTCTATACCAGCTACATCATGTTCGACCACGTTACGTTTGACTTACGTAAAAGTAAAGATATAATGTGAATTTCTTTTCCTATACTTTAAATAAAGCAGCTTTTAATGGAGTTGTTTTGTAAGAACTGGCTGATCAGAAATGACAGCCTATTTAAGTTATCCAGTTAATAAAGCTGTTGGCGGTTTGCTGTATTCTGCTAAGAGAATTTATTATTTTGAATATTAAAATTAGTTGCAAGGCAACAGATGGCACTATTGACAGAAAACAAAACCTATAAGAACTACACTGGTGGACAAAATTAAGAGATGGAGGACATTTTCCTAAATATCTCAAAAAATACTGAATATAAATAAATTAAATTTGGTATGGATATAGCTTATTCCATGATAATAAAGTATGCAAAACGAAAATGAAAGTGCCATTCACTGGTAAGACCTATTGCCAATAAATCCAATGTAGTCTGAACTTAAGGATAAAAGATGACAATAAAAGTGAGGCTTGTACAGTGTGTGTTGCCTCTAGTATGGTGTATGGTCACCGCTGACAGACAGACAGCATGCACAACGAGTATGCATGCTGGTAATAAGGGAGTTAAGGAGGACTTGTGGAAGACCCTCCCATTCTTCCACCAGAGCAATTTTTAACTCCAGAATGGTTCTGGGAGGAGGTTGGCACATTGCAATAGCTCTCCCAAGAGCATCCCAAGCATGTTCAATAGTATTCAGGTCAGGGGATTTGGCTGGCCAATTCATTCATATCCTCGATTTCCAGATACGCATCAACCATGAGAGCCCTATGTGGTCGCGCATTGTTGTCCATAAAAATGAACTCAGGACCACCCTGAAAAGACGCACATAGGGCTCTAGGACGCACATAGGGCCTGTACCTCTGGGCGTTCACGGAACCATTGTCAAACACATGGAGCGGTGTGCCGGTATCTTGCCTGTGGGAATGAATGTGCGAAAATGCTTTCCATCTCTTAATTTTGTCCACCAGTGTATGTTTGACCAGTTAAACTGAAATATTTTCATGGGCGTCTCATAGAAATATATGCTTTTACACTACGCCTTATCATTGTATCAAATAGTATTTAATTTTGAAAGCTTTTTTATGTGTGTTCGTGTGTGTTATGTGTGTTTTTTATGTGTTAGCAGAGCTATCTGGTGGCAAACTATGTATACTTTTGAAACTAAAAGAGAAAAAGAAATTTTGGTCACCAACATAACAAAGAAAATCATAAATTTCTGTCTAATTAAGTTTTTTTTAAATGTAGATTTTTATTTGAGGATCTTTTTTTCTATCTCATAAGTTTCAAATATGTTTTTCATGAATTTACTAAACAAGTATTATATTATACTTTTCAACTCTAAAGGGCAAGAAATATGAGGGTAAAATGTTTGAATAAATTAAGATTGCGAATTTTATAACAAAAATTTATTTTTGAATATCATACAACTATACAGAGACACAACTATACATAATACATTTCAAATGTGTATGTACAATGTTCAATGAACAGGCTAGCGTGAACTTATTGAAAGACGTGACTAGTTTGGAGAAAGTTCATTAACCTGTTAAAATGCAACACTGAAAAAATAATTCTCTTCTTTTAGAAAAAGAAAAAACTTTTACTGAAAACTTAATATATATTAATGATTAGCAAACCTTGCAAATTTTAATGAAATAAGTACAAAAAGATTTATAATTTGGCACACATATATAAAAGTTATAACAAGAAAAGTCACTAAAAAAATGCTAAAACGATAAATAAATGCTAATATGGAATGGTTTAAATAACAAAAAAAAAGGGTTAAAAGTTTCAATGATTACTAAACATATATTGTTTTAGATTGCTTGCAATGTAAATATACGCATATTATAAAGAGAAAATACTCATAATTTAAACAATTGTTGTAAATCCGGTTTGAAACGTAAAATCTTTCAATTAATAAATAATTTCAAAATCAATTCAAAAATTTTTTTATTCCATTAAAATGTAAGAAATTTACGATTTTAAAATAAGTAAATCAATTTAAGAGAAAATTTGTGTCTTTTCAGAAATTCTTCAGTATTCAGTACTTATTGGCATTCCCGAAAAAAAGGGATACATCATAACGTTAGTATTTTTGACTTCAACTCTTTTTGTTTGTACATTTTAAGTTATATTATCTGAAACTCATTTTCTTACAATAAATAAACTTTGGTTAATCCCAGAATTGATAAAAATGTATGTTTGGAGAAAGCTTACCTTAAATGACGTTAATTAAGCAAATATAACTACAAAGCTGCTTTTGCGCTCTGAAAGCATGTTAAAATACATAAATTAAAACATGTAAATTAAATTGAATACATATTGTTAGGGAGTTTATTTAAATTGATGTTTAAAGAAGCAAGAAATTATTACAATAAGATTAAGCCAAAAATAATTTTGCGCATTCAAAGTATACTCAAATAAATTCACCAAAATATGTAAATTAAGTTGAATTCATAGCGCATTTCTAATAAAAATTATTTTTTTTAATGATACTTATTTTAAATGACGTTTAAGGAAGATAGCAAATCGAGTCATAAATAATTTTACTCATTAAAAGTATGCTAAAATGAATTGAAGAAAAAAAAATTAAGGTGAATTCACAACATATTTTATATCTTTAAATGTGAAGAAGAAGAATAAAAATTGATCACCTCACAGAAAAATACGCTTTGTATGATTTTTATTGGGAAAGAAAAAACAAAAGAGTTATAAAACTGCCTCCATTCACAGTTAAATAAAAGTTGTAACCAATGCAATAATATCTATTGATTAAGAAACTTTATTTAATTTGCAATTTAAACAATGAGTTTTCAAATATCTTTGATAAGAATGAATTACGTTTTGAGCATAGTTAGATTAGTGTAGATTCAGATAGGGTTTTAAGTAATCTTTTCAATCTAAATAATGAGCTACGAGTAAAACCAGTAACGATTTATATTATTATGAACAATTCTAAATATTTCCTACATTTAATGCATTGAATTCAAACACGTGTGCGAAATAAACTGAACTAAAAAAAACATCCATATATTTGTTTTTTAAAAATATTTCACTTTCTCCAGTGTTCATTCTTAACCTTAAAATATGACAAAAAGTAAGTGGATAAAGGAGATGCGCACTTATTCTTTTATTTTGAAAAATGAATTATCGTGAATAATTGATGACTAAAAATGTAAAATGCTGAAAGATCTATTAAATTGGAACATTTTTTTTTTACATAACGATCCTTAAGTGCCAAGTTTACAAACTGGAGAACGCTTGAAGTTGCAAATATTGAAATGATAGTTGAAATAAAAGTCTTTTGGTGTTTAATATGTCACACTAGTTGAAAACACAAAATATTTATAAGTTTGATAAATTTAAAAAAATTAAAAAATAATTCTAAATATTAATGTTATATATTTTAAACATCAGTTAATGTGTAAACCAAGAGACAAAAGTAAAGTGTAGATTTTGTTTTGCCTGTCTGAACAATTTCCTCTTTTAGGCTTTCGAAGTTTTTGATTTTTAGCCCTCAATTATCACTGATACCTCAATCCCTGCTCTCATTTGTCACTGATAAACAGATCTATAGATATCTCAAACTAGGCATCAGTGCCCCTGTTTTTACCAACATTTATTAAGGTATCAGCAGTTCAAAATGTAGACTAAGAAACCGAAAGAAGTGAAATAGTAGAAAACAATATAAAAGTTTTTTTTCTTCTCCTTCCTGAATATTTCTTTTGAACTTTCAGTTTTCAATTACTAATTACGCATAAAATATCCTTATATGTCACTGATACTTTAAATGATTATCAGTGATTCTGTTTTCAATATAGACAGAACTCTAAAAACTTTTTCAACAGATAATTATTACAAAATTCTCTTCTCCTTCATCCACTTATGCTTTCAATACATACATGATTTCAAAAGTGCAAGTGGATCGAAAAAATAGTGAAACATTCATTTATGCTGAACAAAATTTCGGTGGATATTCACTTTGTACATGTAACATGTCATTCTTCCCAATCAACCATTACTTTTATCATACAGACATTTACACCAATTATGAATTTGTTTTTGATTGCCCAAAACATTACAAAAGACGAACGGCATTTGGCGATTGTACGGTGCTATGAAACAACAACAGCAGCGAAACGAAATTGAGCTCAACTCGTTATGAAATTAAGTAAATGCAGTCAAAATAAGTTAAATGTAGTGAAGTGTCAGAGGGATCACAGGACAGTGCAAACATTTCGACTGTGTTGTTCCTTATGCTCTTTTTTGGAATGCTTAAGTCGGATGCGATCAAGTGGAAATTTTTTCTTTCGCCTCTCCGGAAAGGATCGGTCTTCCACTTTTACTACTTCCATATTTGAAGTCTGAAAGGCTCCACCTGTCTTTATAAAACAAAAAGATATAAACTCACAAAAATAAATGCACAAAAAGTACTTGCTAAAAAGAAAATAAATTTATAAACTTTCGCAGTGCTGTCTGGCTATCAAGAGATAAGCTCTCCCTGAGGTTGGAATATTTACTTATTTTGCGAAACAGTTAAGGTGACGGGTACAAGCTAAAACAGTAGGGGAGAGTGGGGTCAATTGTAACAGGGTACGATTGCAACAGAGCAAAAATTTCGAGTGTCGGGTTCTAGATTTGGTTCCTAGGTGGCGCACAAGGTGTATTTAATAAATCTACATGTACACCCTTGATGGCAACCATTTTTATGTACTTTTGAAAGAGTTACATCACAAAAGATATTTTCATGTCAAGCAAGTACTTTTTTTGGTATTAGAATATTATATTGTAACAAAGTAATTTTGTTTAAACAAATAAAAATTAGTAACCGAATACGTAAGTGAACACCTTGATTAACATTTCAATAAAAAAATATTAGTTTTGCTAATTAACTAGCATTGTTCTTAACAAATGATGCTGAAATGGCGTCTTAGGGACAATTGTAACAATAAGTAAAGGGACGATTGTAACAGCTGAAAATAAATAATGTTACGTTTACAAACCATTACTTAACTCTTTAAGAACCACCAATAGTTTCCGATATCATTTATATTATGTTGCATGTGCATTATTTTATTTGTCACCTTTCACATCATAAATTAAAATTTTTAACCCCTTAAAGTTAAAAGTTTAACCCTTTAGGTCTCTGCTCATTATTATTTTTACTCCTAAAATATCACTACTATTTTGATCAATAAAAAAATATATCACAACTATGATAATATGTATAATTAACTATGTTTTAGTTGAATTTATGAACTGTTACAATTGACCCCGTAAGTGGGGACAATTGTAACAAGTGCACGACTGTCAAAAATTGTTAATAACTAATATAATAATATTTAAAATCAGGTATTTATTTTTTTTTCTAGTAGAGGATAGTCTACTTTACTCGTCTGTCAATTAATACTTATAATATATTGGATTTTTTGTTAGTTAAAAATAGTTAAGTAAAAAATGTTCCAATTGACCCCACTCTCACCTACTTATCTGATATAGGCACCAGAAGGCCAAGTTAGACAAGATGTAAGAGCAATGCTAAATTCTTGTTAACACAGATCACCAGCTACCAATATTACACATGGGTGTATCGAGTACGACCATATTGTTCTCATTAACGATAACACACAAAAACGACTATAACACAACTATTATTGATAACTGTAATTATCGAATACGATAAAATTACGATCATTATCATTATTTTATCATAAAGATAATACCACGTGTATTATGCATAACGATAGTTATGACTAATTATGAATATTGATACATTTTGTTTTATTAACAGAAATATTGACCTATTTAAAAATAATATAAAATTGTTAAAATTAAAAATGGAGTGATATATTGTTAAATGTCGATATATTTTCTAATGCATCACGATATTAAAATTCGTACTTATCGGTAAAAACAGCCGCCAGCTCATGGACTCTATATCCCGTATGTATCACATAAAACCAACAACCAAGCGTAAGCTAGCACTATCTTTACTAGAAATATATATAGACCAGTTTATTATTATCATGATTGTCACCAACAAGTATAGTGTGAAGATCTCTCTACAGCCGTACATTGACACCATTTTCATAGAGAATGAAAGAAAGTATCCTATTATATAAAATGAGAAAGAACGAAAATATTCGGCATCCTACTAAATGTAGTTAATTCACAAGCCTGAATTATGGGTACAATATTTTCTTGTAGTTTTCTGGCAGTGTTAAATTTTATAAAAAAAATTTCCGCAATGATGGCTTAAATATATTAAATACATTGAGAAATTATATTTTGTTTTTGTTTTTTAACAAATGGTGATTTTCGGAATCATAGTCTGATGAGTTATCTATTCTAAATGCTACGGAAACGACTATCTTCCACACCTTTTTGAGAGGTTTAATCAAAGTTAAATAAATTCTAAAAAGTATTACAAAGTACGAAGCAATATTCGGACGAAATAGAATAAAGACTCGGTTGTGGTTAGGCTCAGCCAAGCGTAATATGAAACAAAGTTTGAAAAAGTGAGAGCAAGCAAAAATATGACATTAACGAACGAAACGAAAAACTATATAACGAAAAACTCTGTAATCTTCCCAAAATGCTTAAGTATATTATGCCCTACAGTCCTTATTTCTAAGAATTCATCATGAAAAGACGATTGCACTGCTCCGCAGCGAGCAATAAATAACAATATGAATACATTAGAATACATTTTTTACAACATTTTATATTCGTCGTTTACAAGGAATCACCATGAACTAGATATACCATACTAGACATTTAATTATTTTAACATTGCATTCGGAACTTTATTGCATTTGAATCTATAATAATACAACCGTATAAAGAAATATTTATATTTATATATTTTTTTACATTTATTATTATAAAATAAATTATATAAATTTATATATTAGAAAAATTTATATATTTATTATTATAAAATAAATATAGACACGAAAATTTTACATTCATACTTATGTACTTTTTTTTTAATTATTATATCGCCAAACAGTAAGTAATATTTTGTATGCATTAGCAAATTAAAAGTAATTACCTGAGGAATTGGTCCTACTCCATTAATAGGATTATTAGCATCCATTTTTTTATTTAAACCTATTGGTATAAATAAACTTTCATTAATATCAAATTACTAATCAAGTTTAATAAAATGCAATGGTTATACAATAAGCATCTATTATACAATCAACAAAAATTAAATATTTTATTAGCCTCTTGAGATTTGGAGTTTATAATGTCGGACAACATTTTGTACAATTTTATCACTCAATAAATAATATTTCAAGGTACGTTTTTATTTTTGTAAGTCTTTACAAAGCAATGCAAAAAATGCTATTCGTTTTACCACCACTGGTTAGAATTTCGAATGACAAAAAAAAATGCAGCTGGTAAAAGCTCCTTACTGAGAGGGCGCTGTGAGCGCATCAACAAGTAGTGAACATGTTGACAACGAAGTGTCAAGTTGTATTAATCCTTTTTTCGCTATTAAATATTTGTTTCGTTATATTTGATTTGATTTCGCCGATGAATTATTCTGAACTATTGATACAAAACCACTGAACCTACCTTGATATTGATCTAAACACGGAACAGCAGCAAACGTGAGAAATTTGATTCAAGTAAAGGTTTGGAAAATTTTATAGCATTTCAAATTTTTTTTTATTTGTATCTTCTTATGGATTTGTTTTTCCATGACCACAATACTTAATAAAAAATATCCATTAACCTGTAAAATGTGTTAATACTTAATAACAATTTTTCAAACACTAATTAAAACATTTTTAAAATTTTTTTTTCATTTTTTAACTTATACTTTATCTACTAAAAATATCTATGTAAAAAATTTAACTTTGAAGGTTTCCATTTCTCATATGTATGCAAATTCTCTCATTTGCATAATGAATAGTTAAATTTGTTTTATAAACTGAATTTCCTATATTTTAATAAGAGTGCAAAAAGTGTTACATCTATAATAAGCAAGCAAAACTTATTTAAAAAATTTTAAAATATATTCTAATTTACTTTTATAAAAAAATAAATTTGATAGTTAAGAATTTTAAAATTTCACAAACCTAAGATATATTTGCAATTTAAAAAGAAAAGTATTTATCAAAGGAAGTTAAATATTTTGATATCTTTATTAGCTAATAATAAAAAAATCTCTGCAATATCAAGAAGAAGTGTTAAGGAAAGAAGTGTAAAATCGAAATTAAGTAATAAAGAAATATAAAAAATTGCTTTAAGAAATAACGTAAATTTTTTTTTAACAAAGCTCTTTTTTTAACATGATTTAATTTAAAAATTAAACACTATTTCCTTTTTCCCAGAATTTCTATGTTGTTTTTTTTTAGCTTAGATCATAATTTCCATTAAAATTTTCAGATTTTTTCATATTTTATTTTATTTTAATGATGATTTTATAGCGGTTTAAGAGCTAAAATTGAGATAAAATTTCTATTAATCATTGATTGTAATTGAAAAAATATGCTTGAAAACATGTGGAAACAAAAAAAATTGAAAAGAAAAATTCCTCGTTAGAAGTCAAAAAATAATATTTAAGCAATTAATATACAAAAGAGTTATCAGTTTTTAAAAATCTTCAATTTGCTCTCTTTCTGAGTCTTAATAATAGTCCAATCAAAGTATGAAATTGATTTAAGCAAATTTTAAGAAAAAGACTTCAAAATAATAAATCAAACTGGAGAAGCACTAAAAGCAGCTAAAACTTAATTTGTCTTTCGTAAACGATTTAAATAAAAAGTTAGATACCAAAAACAAGCAAAAAACGAAATTCTGATTATATGCATGTTAGCAAAAACAGCACTGGTGAAGAGCTGTTTCTGTCAAACGCCTAATGATAGTCTTAATAACTTAATAATAGTTTGTCACCTCCAACCACCAAACATGTTTTTGTTTTTAAAATTCCATTTTTCTTATATTTTGATAGTTTTCTTAAATATCAATTTTTGGTCATAAAGTTTAGATTTCGGCTCCACTTATCTAAAAAAAAGGCAGTGATTACGGGACATCCAATCTATACATAATAATAAACGCGGCTGTGTGTGTGTCTGTGATCACAATATATAGCCCCAGAAGCCTCGCCCAGGCACGAAACTCGGCACATAATTGTGTTTTGACATAATGAAGAAGTATTTTTTTTCTTTTTCAAAAATTTGGATTAGTTATTTAGTTATCAGTCATTTTGTAAGTCTATGCTTTTCGTCTGCTTTTTCGTCTTCAAAGAGCCATATTCAAAAAACTATTAAAAAA